ATGTCAAAAGTTTCATGCTTACTCGCCACGCAATTTTGGCTCTTATGAGGCTTTTCAATCGACTTCAAAAAAGGAGGGGTTTTCAATTTGACTATATGTTTTTTTTGTATTTATGTTATGTGACGCGATAACATATGCGAGATAGCAATACTTTCTGCGGTCCTCCGGCTGCATAAGTTTAGCACGTGCCGTGCAAGTCAGTGACCTTTGGATTAAGCAGGATTCGGTGATTGCAAATCGATGTTCACCGCAATTAATGGAAAAATGAGAATTTAGGATTTTTTTTCGATTATTTTTTTGTGATTAGTTTCGAACATAACACATTGTATTATTATCATATACATATTATAATCACTGTATCATTATCACACACCACTTACACCCACATCTCATACATAAATCTTGTAATGTAGCACATTCCCGGGGTGCGGTCGGGACAAGCACACTATTATTTACCTACTGGAATTTCTCCAAGGTTCTAAAACTAACGAAAGAAACCAACACCAAGTTTTAATATTCATCGGTTTACAATAATAATAAATGCACCTCTTGAGTATACTAGAATTGCACGAACCACGCGGGGTTACTACCCTAACTAATCTAGTGACGGGGCGGTGAGCTAAAGGGTAGGTTTACGGGGTTGAAGGGTGAACAATTCGCACGGTCTGGACACACCTTGGTCACGCGCAGCAATCGCTACACAACCCAGGAGACGGACGGGAGAGGATAGTAGATTGTGGAAAACCAAAAATTATATTACCTAACCTATGTTTCAGGTACAATCCTCGCATCTCCAACTAACATGAATATCCTCCAGACAATGCAAAATCTGATAAGAACTAGTTTCACTACTCCCAAATCTATCTACACTGGAATCCATTCCACCTTTGCTGAAGGACATTTTTTTTCTATAGATGGTAAGCATTAAGCAAGTTTCTTTTTCGAACCAATTGTCCGTATTATATTTAATGTTATCAACGACAAAATAATATGCTAAGAATAAATTATATAAATTAATACAATTCCGCATATCTATTGTGACTTTGATAACATAGAACTAGAATGTTACCGATAAATATCGGGTTAAACAGATCTAACCAAGTAAAGACTATGTGTATTATTTATGTAGAGTAGCGATGGAGGATAATTGCTCAAAATAATCGAATTACTTATTAACATTAAATATTTCGATTGTTTATATCAATTGGTTACTGGTTTTTTAGCCATAGCGCCATCTATGAGAAATCTATGAAAGTATTTCGTCACCCAGTTAGATACATTTACACTTAGAATAATAACGCATAAAATGATAGTTTCATATCAAACGAACTGTCGCAAATGAGGCAAAAATCAAATTCATGTAGGCTAGTTTTAGTAGTAGGTTAATTTTCGATTTTAGTGAATATTTATATAAAAATACAAGTTGAAACGCGTTACTTCCTTGTGAAATGTGATGTTAGTATCAATTTTATGTTTGTCTGACGTATTTTTACACTCATTTACCGCACATTTCGTCATTTTTAGCTAAAATTCTTGAGCTGTTCGCGGTGCAAGTTGCCTTGAGCACTGAAGGCCCGCCCGCTCGTGTAGGCCCATTGGGCGCACTTCAATTGGCCTCACTTAGCGTGTGCGGACTAGGTTTCTATGCGTTATTATTCTAAGCATTTATAGCTATTCACTGTATTTTAAATTTTTATTGAATTGATATTCAATTATTTTTTGTGAAATTACTCCACTAGTTTCTTATAATTATTAATAAAAAAGATCGAACACTCAGAAAAATTAATATTATACTTATATTAATTATAATTATAACAAACTAGTGAAGTAATTTTACATAAAAAATAATTAAATATCAATTCAATAAAAATTTAGTAACTAATTAGTTTTTTTTATATAATATCAAGTGACGGGACGAGCGAGTCGTGTATGTAACAGTTGCAGTGCCACTCAGAGCTTTAAAACGCATCAGAAGGGCACTGCCACTGCGCCCGTCAACCTGAGACATAAGTTGAAAGTCCCATGTCCCTTACCCTTCAAAACCGGAACGCAGTAATGCTACATTACTGCTTGGTGATAGAAATAAGTAAGGTGGCAGTACTTCCCTGGACGAATTCATTTCACAAGGAGTTCTACTGCTAGTAAAAATAAAAATATTGTACACAACATAACTATTATGTATTTGAAAAATGGCGCTTTTTTTTAAATTCTTACATAGATAATACAACTCGAACTAAAATGTTGTAAGCAGCATACCAGACATGCTGGAGTATGAAAAAATTGCTAAATTTTTATACAGAAAATTATTAAAATCAATTACAAGAAATTCTTAACAATAAGTGTTTAACCAGTATGTGGTTTTGATTACATTCTAAGCGAATGTTTAAATTTCGAACTTAAGTAAACTCCTTGGTTGAGCCTATGTCCTTACATATGTATAAGTATGTCGTGTTACAAATTCAAAAAAGAAACTCCTTACTGACCATGGTTGTCATGGAAAGAAAAAAGGCTCGTGGGTTTTATTTGGCGCATTACAGTCCAGTTAGCCACCATGCAACCATAACATTTACGAGCAAGTGTCATGAAAAGATATTAACGTTCTTACAATATCGTCACAGCCGTTTATGAATGTTTAATTTATGTTAAGAAGAATGGTAATTGTAATATTAAGTGTATTGATTATCACGATGTTTTATTAGCACGATATTCAATTAGTTTTAGTGAAATTACTCCACTTGTTTGTTATAATTATTAATAAAAAGATGTCGAGTTGCGGACAACAGCCCGTTACACCATACCATAATAAAAAGATCTCACATAGAAAATAAAAAGCACATGGAAAGATTCATAAGGTGCGCTGGTTCGTTTGTTGTCATTTAGGAGAGAATTAATTTTTCTTTATGTTCGATCTTTGTATTCGATATTTATAGAAACTTACGTTTGATTTTCACTATAGGTATCCCTCTTGCTCACATGCCCGTGAACTGGGCCCCAGACGAACCGAACAACGTAGATGGTAACGAAAACTGCACCATCCTCCATCCCAACGGTACCCTGGCTGATGTGAATTGTGGTTACGTCCATCCTTTTATTTGCTTTAAAAAACGGACCGATGATATGGCTGAGATGAACGAGTGCGGTACCATTGATAGAGGTATGTAATATTTTTAACCGACTTCAAAAAATGAGGAGGTTCTCAATTCATGATTCTTTTTTTGTTGGAAAGAGGTTACCTCCACAGTGGTCCCATTTAATTTTGAAGAAAATCATCCACCTCTAGGGGTGGCTGTTCACGCATGAAGATTCATTTTTATAAATAGCGCCTAAATTTTATTATAAGGAGTAATTATTTTGATAGTTGATTTTGCTATTCTCCAATTCAAGGCGTTTTTCTCTCAATGTACTTTGAGTAGTCAGAACCAATTTTTATTATCTCCTGTGTCAAGTCCCGTATAGCGGCGAACTAGGGGATGAATCTGGGTTTGCGCACTTTCCGGTAACCGATTTCAATAAAACTTGGTAATTATATGTAATTCAACGTACTTTTGAGGTCGGTTTTTTTAGTACTCTGTACTGAGATTATTATTATTTAAATCTTTGGACGCGTTACCATTATGTCGTGACGACAGATGGTTGTGCAGTCTAAAGTGTCGTGGCTTGTATATTTAAATAAAGTTGTTCACGTATAGAACAACACGATTAACTGTCGTTCACGACTTTTGTCAAGACAATGGGAACAGCTAGAACGACAGTCGTCCAACGATAAATAAAACGTCACGATAAAAACGTGACAACAAATAATGGCAGCTACTATTGTCGTCACGTTTAATTTTTCGTTGTCTGCACATGTGCGGCTCCCTAATCTCCCCTCTCGTCTCCAGCACCCTCGGCTGTTCATGAAATAATTCTGTCGTGCAAACGACAAAGCGGCTGCCGTGAACCGATAAATTGTCATCGCGGTCCAGTGAAAATAACTAGACACAACAGTCGTTCAACGAAAAAAACGTCCACAATACAGTCATGACAAACAGTCATGATACGAGAACAGACTAAAAGCGATAGTCGTCCAACGATAAATAAAACGTTACGAAATAATGGTAACGCGTTCTTTGCTGTAAAAAAATAATGAAACTATGAAATTACCATTGTAGAACAGTTCTATTCTATTCTATTCTAATATGAAATACATCAACTCTGTTACCGGCTTCAATCTACTGGGCATAGTATTTTTCTGCTTCCTTCACATTGTAGTTCACTCAAATCGATTTTTTTTTATATCAACAATGGCATCGCATTAGCTGATCGGTATCAACAATCTAAGAATATATGAAAACTTTTCCAGGGAAGTACTGCTACCTTTTCTATTTCTGCCGCCAAGCAGTAACGTCAGCATTACTGTAACCCGGTTTTGAAGGGTAAGGGTGCTAGTGAAATTACAGGCACAAGGTACTTGCCAACTAATGTATCAGGGTGACGGGCGCAGTGGCAGTGCCCTCAGATCTTTGCGATTTAAAGAGCTGAGTACCACTGCAACTGTTAAGGACAGACGTGTAGCTTACCAACAGGCGCACGACTTGTTTGCCCCGTCACGTTTATTGAATTCAGTTAAAAAATGTTTGTGAATACATTAAAAAGTACTTTATTTCAATGTGGTAAAGATTTTAGAATGGCGTTTATCCTCTAATAATTACATTTTTACAAGTAACAAAGTCTGACCAAATTTAGAGGACGCGGGAAGAAATTTTCCATTGGCTGAAACAAAACTAAGATCCAGTTAATTTCTTCGACTTGACTGGGACACTGCCGTAGCTACATGCAGGAAAATAGCTAATGGTCGTGGCTTAATATTGAATTAATGAATCTAATATTACTTTCAGAATACCAATACAACAACGTCACAGGCAGTTGCTATAAATTCCACATCATTGCAAGAAATTGGCAACGGGCATTCAAGACATGTTCAGCAGAAGGAGGGTATCTGGCTATCGTCAACAGTCCTGAAGAGGCTGAACTTTTCAAGACGATGCATCTGGAGAATCTGCGGCGGACCACGACACAGAACGTCAATAATCGAATTTCCTTCTTAGGTTTCAGATTTTGGCAAGAACTTGGAGCTTGGGTGACCATACATGGTAAGAGACTTCCAGTAGCAATAGATTCTCTAGAGATCTACAAACCCGTCTAATCGGTTTTCTACAAAATTCGGACCCACTTCGGATGTCGCTGGTGCACTAAGTTCGATTCCAATCCCAGAAAATACGAATATCGTTGTACACCTAGAGATAAAATGATCCCTAAGATATTTCGGATCGTCATTTCTCGGATTCGGAATGGATACGAATTGGATGTAGTGCGCAAATGTTTAATAATTGACATTATGTACTTGTTTTACTAGCAAAAAAATTTTGCTGCCAATATCTCGAAAGTTATCGGAATGCAAAAGCGTTATAACAAGCCTTAATTTACAAATTAGTTTATGACAAATACAACGCCATCTATTCACACGCATATTGGGATAGGGAGGGCCCGAAAGATTGGCGAGTTTGATCCGAAAAAATACTTTCATTTCTCATACTTTTTTTAATCTTTATTTTTTTAGAAACTTTTATACTATATATTATGTCAGTTTCATCGTAAACTAAACTTATATCTTACATGTCTGGGCGGCGTTGCTGAAGAACCGATTCAACATTAAATAGTAACAGTATCTTTGCCCGTTTCATATTGAGGTTGCCCAGTATATAGCACCTAAGGATGTTCGATGGCTCCAGTAGGATGTAAGGATGTCGCCAGTGGAAATCACCACTGGCAACAACTGAGATTTTTAATCCCGTTTGTCACCGCCTGGTAACATATGGGATTTTTTCCCATTTGTCCTCAGTGGGAACAAAGCAAGTGGTAACAACTGAGACTAAGCCGCTGTGCGTGCGTTGGCAAGACGCTGATGTTCAAAAGACGCTAGTGCAGGGGTTATCTCAATATGCAGGTCTTCTAACAACATGACAAATTTTTGTTTTTTTTTCACAGGGCAAACTCTAAAAGAAGCAGGTTACGACCACTGGGCAGGTGGTGAACCAAACAACGTAAAGAACGCAGATAACCTATACGAAGGAGAATACTGTGGCTCCATAGATGCTGGTTGTAAGAAAGTCGGTCTGAACGACTTTTGGTGTAAATATGAAAATCCTTTCATATGTGAAAAGCAGCCAGTTGTGGTAGAATCTTCATCTCAGTCATCATCTTCGACTTCAGGACCTACGACTGTGTCATATATAGATTTTAGTGTCGCAAATACCATAGTACCTCGTAATTATGACGAATATTAACTTGAATAATTTGTTTTTATAGATTCAGATTCAGATTCATTTATTTCTCAAATATAACATTACAGTATAAATTGCACTACATGTCAAAGTATAAGAAATTATATTGAGATCGTCAGACAAAAAGGAAAATTATAAGAAAAGCACACAATAATTAGAAAATTAACAATTCATTATATAATATTGTTGTCATTAAATTATATATCAAATATCATTCTCCATCAAGGATCGTCATAAGTTGATAACAGTTTTATAAGAGTATATTAATGCGGTAAAAATTAGAATAAAAATATAAAAATAGAAAATACTGAATTCGTTACAATTTAAAGTCCATAAATTCTTTTACAGAGTATATAGGATTTTTCAAGAAAAAGTCTTTCAGCCGGCGCCTAAATGTTTCGTCAGACGGTTCAAGTCTGAGAGTAGCGGGTAAAAATACCGAACTCAAAATAAATATAAAAAAACCGAACTCAAAAATTTGTGGACTTACATCTATTTTTAGACTAGTTTTATTGAAATCGGTTAACGGAAAGTGGGTGAAATCGAATAAGCCGTATTCATCCCTTAATTAACCACCCTTTAAAGTGAATGAGATCACTATTGGGGCACCCTTTTTACAACAAAAAAGAAACATCAAAATCAGTCCACAATAATACAAAAAAAATACCGTCGTATGGAGAACCTCCTTCTGTTTTTGAAATCGGTTAACGCTTACGAACAATTTTCAAGTTTTTAGGCTTTCGTTGAAAACGAAGCGTACGTTTGTTTACGCAAAATTGTGTTTTATTTCCTATGTTAATGATTTTGTTAAATATGTTTTTTATGATTATCACCGTCAAATAAAGGAACCTTCTATATAATTCTAATCTTCTTTATAATTCTATAATAATAAAGGAAAGGGTTTCGGTAATATGTGGACTTTTTCACTTTTGTAAAGTTTTTGACGCAAGAATTAGATTCACCTAAAATTTTTAAGTAGCTGTAAGCGCCCAGTCACACGACGCGAAAGTATTAAAATTTTTGACACGTTATTCAAATTCATTACAATAAAACATTATTGTAATAGCTTTTTTTCATAACATCAAGTGACGGGACGGCTAAGTCGTGCGTCTGGTGGTAGGTTACACGCCTATAACAGTTACAGTGCCACTCAGAGCTTTAAATTGCAAAGATCTGAGGGGCACTACCACTGGGTCCCTCACCCTGAGACATAAGTTGACAAGTCCCATGTGCCTTTAATTTCACCAGCACCTTTATCCTTCAAAACCGGAAAGCAGTAATGCTTACATTACTGCAACAAAAATAGGCAAGGTGGCAGTACTTCCTGAACGAGCTCTTTCATAACGAAGTACTGCTACTAATGCACTTGACTCCGGCTACGTATTAACGTACTTTTGGAGCATGAGAAGTGAAAAATTGATTGTCTTTTTTTGCATATATAGTAGTAGAAAATGTGTAAAAACTTTTGCTTTTTGCGTTTGTTCAGTGGGTACGTCGATTTAAGAGCCAACGTGGAAGGTCGCATTAAAAGAAGACGGCCACGAAAGATGACATCTCAAATCGAGAATATTCTTTTTTTAAAGAGGATTTTATCTTTATAGATATGCCACCCTCATAGGGGCAACACTGAGCTGTTACAATCTAGGTATTGCTAATTTCACAATATTATACAACACCCTGGCCTCCTTAGACAAGGGGTTGCCCAAGATGCTGTAGCATATGCCTGCTGCGCACACCGTCCGGAATCTGTTGTCTTAACACCTCACTCCTAACACACTCTATTATCACATGATAAACGCATTCTGTTGTCGCACATATCTCACAGTTTGGTGAAGGAACCTTTGACATCAGATAACGGAACTTGTTCAAAGGGACGTATCCTGAACGAAGCTTTATCGCCGTAACTAATTCACGCCTGTTCATTTTAGCGTCAACAAACCATGGAATGCCAGGTAGATTGGGTTGAAAAGCTTTATACCAAATTCCCTTAGTTAAGGATCTTAAATCGAAGTATTCTCCTTAATTAGATACAACATGTCTGAAAAATACGGTGTACAAGCATATGTATCGCCCTCTATTGAGGTTTCTTTGGCTAATTTGTCCACCGTCTCATTCCCGGTAAAAGTCGCAAGCACGTTTAGTGAGAAGAATAGGAGGGTTTTTATGAAAACATTGATGAATGTACAATACAATTGATACAGTATCTTTAGAGATTCTTGTGAAAGAGTTCGTCTAGGAAAGTACTACTACCTTACCTAATTCTAGCGCCAAGTAATAATGCTCACATTAAGCGTTGCGGCTTTGAAGGACAAGGGTGCTGGTATAATCACTGGGACATGGAACTTGTCAACTTATGCCACAGAGTGACGGGCGTAGGGCAGTGCCGTTCTAATCTTTGTGATTTAAAACTCTGAGTGGCATTGTAACTGCTGCACAGGCGTGTCGCTTACCGCCAGGTGTACGATTTTTTCATCTCGTCATTTAGTATAATAAAAAATGTAAGTGGAGCAAGAGAGGTTTCCCAGGATCCACTGAAATGGGGATCAATAGTATTTGTTTAAGCAAATGATAATCCAAAGGCGTGAGTAAACGTGTTACGTATTACAAATTTAGTTGTTAATAAAAATGAGAGTACATTAATTTGCAACTCCGTTAACCCTGGGGGTAGCGGGGTATAAATATACCAACCATTCTGAACGAGCTCGATTTAACGTTCACTGTATTCGCGAAGTAACAAATTTACTTCCATTTTTATCAAGAGGGAGCAGAGGAAAAATTCCTAATCTTCGATTTGATTTTAGAGGGGTATATCCACTTTAAAGTTAAAAATAAAATATTGTATGAGTAACTACACGATACATTCAAGCATAGACACTAATCAGAAACATAAAACAATAAAGTTTCCTCGATAGATAAACATCACGAAATGACCTCTGATTTTCACATTTTTTCGATTCATCTTCTAAATGCTACAGGTTATTAGGACAAAAATTAGATAAATTATTATATTTCTGCATGATCGAGAACTGTCACTACGGATTTTTTTTAATCCCTTTAGTTTTAGAGTTATTCCGCTAAAACGTATTTGGTACTTTTAATGCGCAAAATTCAACATCTCCTGTCGCATGTCACGCGAACTTCAGGCATATATTTGTCTCGCAATTGTGGGCGGAGCCAACGTCAAAACTTTTTTGGCATGCTCCCTCTTAACATGGACTTCAGCAGAGTAAAGACTGAATCCTGAGCCTGAATTGACTATTTTAATACCACTTTGGATCTGTCTATAGTATTCGAACATAACTTCCCTTTCGTTACACATGACCGATTTACTTGTTCTATTGATTATTTTAGCACCACTTTGGAATTCGTTATGGTATTGGCGTCTAACTTTGCACTGTTACTCCTATGGCGCAACAATCTATATTAGTAGAGAATAGTGAATTCGATCTCAGTATAGGTTTTTTTTATTCGCATTAAAGGTGATAATTAAGTGCTGTCTATATAGCAGCTGCCTGCACAATGTATTAGCTGCACAAGTACCAAGCGATCCCGACAAGATAACCAACTCGCATTTAATTTGATCCTTATTTTTCAGCTCGTAAGTATACTCTCAGTTTCAAAGCCGTCAGCTTTAAATGAGATTATCAGAGGCCTGTCGACTTTAACAAGGTTTTAACAACTCTTGGCATTGATCTAATTAAATGTGGATACGACTTTTGATTCGTGATTTCAAAGGACAATGCTAATTTCCTTGAAACCGCTGGTCATTTGAGACTCAGCTGAGATCATATTGTATTTATGACAATATTTCGTGGCTTTACACTCTCAAACTCGTATCTTGTAGCATAAAGTCACTGACATGCAAAAAATGGATTGTATATTGATTTCTTATCACATTTCCTTCATATTCACATACTGACTTTTACCTATTCTTAGAGTAATGCATCCAAATTGACACCCTTGATAAGAAATTTAACAATCAGTACAGAGTACTAAAAAAACCGACCTCAAAAGTACGTGGAATTACGTCTATTTGCTAAGTTTTATTGAAATATCCCCTAGTTCGCCACTATACAGGACTTGACACTGGAGATAATAAAAAATCGGTTCTCACTACTCAAAGTATATTGAGAGAAAAACGCCTTGAATTGGAGAAATACCAAAATCAACTATTAAAGTAATTGCTCCTAAATTAATGCTAGGCGCTATTTATGAAAATGAATCTTCATGCGTGAACAGCCACCCTTCGAGGTGGATGATTTTCTTCAAAATGAAATGGGACCACTATGGAAGTACCCCATTTCCAACAAAAAAAGAATCATGAAAATCGGTTCACAAATACCGGAGTTATCGCGTAACATACATACAAAAAAAAGAACATACAGTCGAATTGAGAACCTCGTCCTTTTTTGAAGTCGGTTAATAAATGGAAAGCCATCTGAATAATCACTGTTTATAAGATACGAGTTTGAGAAAGTAGGGCATCGATATGTTACTCTGCTAAAATCTAGCTACAATGGCAGTTGACTGTCAGTAGAAAGGCTGTGATGGCATTCATTCAATCATTGACATACGATTTTTTTTCATGATACGGGACGAATCAATCTGTAAGCTACACGCCTGTCCATAACAGTTGCAGTGCCACTCAAACTTTAAATCGCAAAGATCTGAGAGGTACTGCCCCTGCGCCCGTCATCCTGAAACATAAGTTGACAAGTCCCATGTGCCTGGAATGTCACCAAAATGTTGCTTTACTAAAACTACCATGGAAATACGCATATCTTGAATTGTATCTCATTTGAACAGCAAATTAAATTCTTTAAATTTCTTTCTCCTTGAAACCATTCACCAGCTTCATTTCACAAAACTAGAGTTAGCCCTTTAATCGCTTCAGTATCTGATATTTTGTCTACAAATATACGAAGCGGTGCTAGGAAAGCCTCTACAGTTACGTGCTCTATAATTACGTGCAGTACACGATGCTATGGTCTTTCACCTGTTATCGCAGAAAGCTTCTAACAATTCCGCCTGTTGTTATTCTGATATTCCAGCAGTTCTTGAAATTGTTCCTTGGTCATCCCCATTTTCGAAAATTACTTCTGTTGTGCGGCATTGGCAGTAGCAGTACGACCCGATCGCGTGTGAGTTCGTTTCGCCTCGAGTTGGTCGCCAGATTGTAAGGGGATCGGGCGTAGAGCTAATGAAAATTCGGCTTGTAGGAAATCTGGAGGTTTCTTTGCAAATATTTGAAGCAACTTTTACAATACAATTAATAGACGATATGATGTTCTACGGCTACGCAGCTACGAAACTATCCCACGAGGTGGAGCAGGAAACGTAGAGGGTTACGATTATGCAGCTACGAAAGGAGCTACAAGTGGGCAGGGGGCGTAGGACTTTCAGGTATCCCAGCAGACCAGGCTATCACGTCTCTAGAGAGTCCTACGAGTGGAAGCTAACTCGGAAGCGAGGTAGGTAAGGCTGAAGAGGACCTTTACCTGAGGATTATCCACACTTATACAAAATTTCACGTTCTATGTCATTATTTACCGTGAACACTTTGATAGCGCATTTTAACACAATCCCAACGCCAACTAGCGGTGTGAGTCCGAACTAAATAGGTGGTCGTTGGCTCTTATTATAATGGTTTTGGTTCTACGTTGTGTTTTAACGTAACGTATACAATAGTTCAAAGTATTACCTATAATCCGTTATCTGTAGTTATGTCATATTAAATAAAATAACAAAGCATCATTGACCTCCTCATAAACATGCCGCAAGTTTCATCAAAACGTAACGAGCTTTAAAAACTTCTATTAACTACATTAACAATTCCATTGTTCCTGCAAGGAGCTGGTGAAAGGGTTCGTCCAGGGAAATTGC